TGGAGAAGGGAGGGGAAGCAGAGCGTGTGTCAGTGTATGCTTGTAAAAGCTGAGGGGGGGGGTGTGCACGCGTGTGACGGGAGGGGGAATATACCTAGTACATGGAGCTTGACAATTGGACAAAATAAATGGATTCTCCATGCCCTTACTAGGGCCAAAGGCTGATACTGCAGCATTGGAAAGATAAATATAGGGCCCCATTTACTCAGTGGACTGAAGACCTGTGTGTACTTGCCATTTATGGGCAGATTGCCTATAGATGTAGACTTTGTCTGCACAAGTATAATGAAATATGGGACTCATTTTTACAAAATACAGTAAGTAAAAAAAGGATAGTCACATAAATGTATTGGAAATATATGTGCATCTGAATCATATTTGCATTAGATAAATATATACAGGTAGTCCTCACTTAATGACACTTCATTTAATGATGGTTCAAAGTTACATTTAGTGATGGTTCAAAGTTGCAATGGCCTCATAAAAAGTCACGCCCCTGCCCCCATCTGCGGTCATGTGGCTGCATTTTGGGCACTTGGCAATGGGCTCGCATTTATGACTGGTTACCAAGTGCCCAGCTATCATGTGATCAATATTTGCAATCTTCTCTGCTTCTGCAGAGGGGATGGAGGGAAACCTCTTAGTGGTGTGCAGGAACGGAGCTCAAACTCTGAAAATTTGAGCTCTGCTCCTCCAGCCCCACAAAGCATTTCCCCTCCATCCATGGGAGGGGAGGGCAAATCCTTCAGCGGGCTTTAGGAATGGTTGAAAGTGAAAGAGCTGCCTGCCAGGAAGAGCTGAAATCCTTTAGCAGACAACTATTTTGCTCTGTCCACTTAATGACCTGGGAGATCGCTTAATGACTGAAACTGGGAGTGCTCAAATTGTGGTTGTTGAGTGAAGCAGTCATGTGGGCATCTCAATTTTGGTTAAGATTTTTGAATATATGGAAGAATGTTATTACATGGGTGAAATTCATATGGAAATACAGAAAAGAACGAGGCAAGAATGCCTACTTTCACCATTGTTATTCATTTTTGCCCTTGAACTTCTGAATAAAGATATAAGACAAAATGAGAGAATTGCTGGAGTGAAAGTTAAAAATTCTGGAAAATCCTATAGATAGAATGGATGTATTAATGGAAAAATAAAGGAATTGGCTGGGTTTCAAATAATGAGAAAATGAAGATGTTGATAAAGAATATGAGGATGGAAGATCAAAAAGTAAAAACATTTTTGTCTGTAAAGTAGAAAAAAGTTTGTAAAAACAAGGTTTCAGGCTGAGAAGGGTCATATTATGACTAATATGAATTGTATGTTATTTCAACATAATTTAGTTAAGGTATGAAGTGAAATTAAGAAGGATTTATTAAGATGGGAAAAGTTAGAATTATCATTGTTTGGAAGAATTTCTGTGGTGAAAATGAATGTCTCACCTAGAATGATGTTTGTATTTCAAATAACCTGTTTTGAGAAATGATGCACCCTTTAAACAATGGCAAAAGGATCTATCCCAATTTATATGGCAGCAGAAAAACCAAGGGTGAAATATAAAAGGAGGAATGGGATTGCCTGACTTGAAATAGAATTTTGCAGCCTGCTGTTTGGTGTGGACAAAAGAATGGCTGTTGCTAGGAAAGAAGAGAATATTAGAATTAGAAGCCCCCAACTAAGGTTTGGATGGCATGGTTATTTGTGGTACGATAAAGTTAAAGTTAATGTAGACTTCCAAAATCATTATGTTAGGAGTGCCATATTAAGAATATGGATATAACCCAGGTTGTCCCAAAAATACCTTTAGCGGCCTGAGCACAAGAAGCATTTCATAGAAAAGAAATTGCGGCCTAAGAAAAATGCTTAACATATCAAGATGTGCTAGTAGAGGTAAATGGAGAATGTAAGATGAAATCAAGAGAACAGCTGACTGCAGAGGGATTTACTTGTCAATGGTTTTCATATGCACAACTAAGGGAGAGATTTAGTATGGATAAAAAACTACCAGATATAGAAAAACATATGATAGAGTTTGGAACGGAATTATATACAAATGATGAACACGTAATTGCTAAACCTCTGCTGATATTTGAAATGGAAGAACAAGTTAAAGAGTGCATGAAAAAATGGTCTAGGAATTTTGGTTATAACATTCAAATGGATCAATGGGAGAATGTCCTCACAAGGTCAGAAATTCACACTGTCTTATAACCTAAAAGAGAATTTTTATAAAATGATGTATTGTTGATATATGACACCTGAGAAATTATTTAAAATGTATAAAGATATTTCTAAGTGCTGTTGGAAATGTGAAAAGCATGAAGGGACATTTTACCATGCATGGTGGGCTTCTGGAAAAGTGAAAAAATATTGGATACAAATATATATGATGATGCAGAGAATTTAAAAAATTAATATTCAGATGAAACCAGAACTTTTCCTACTAGGACTTATGGATAGCCAATGAGAAAAGACTTATGAACCATTGGTTTTATATATGGTGACTGCAGCGAGGCTATTACTGTATATGCAGAAAGATGGAAAAATATAGAAATACCCAGAACGCAGAAGTGGATCGTGACGATGGTAGAACTTGCAGAAATGGCTAAACTGACCTGTTTGATTAGTGAAGGAACAACAATCACTTTTACAAAAGAGTGGAAACCCCTTATGGGCTTTTTACTGAAAATGGATAAAAATGAACTGGTGATTTCTGGATTTACCAATTAAAAAGGGCTATATACTGTATGTGAAGAATGGAACAATGTTATGCAATTTTGAGGGGGGAAATATATCAGGTATGCGTGTAACTCCTGTAAAGAAGATCGGAAGTCACTTCTTTAAGTAGTTTTTCTCCTTTTCTTTCTTTCTTTTGTTTTCCACACTTTTTTGTATATCTTTTCCTTTATTATTTCTTTTTTATATCTGTGTTCATCTTTTAAGTTTGTAAAAGATTATCTAATAAAAATTATATATACAAATTTTACAAAATTATCTAAATTTTCTTAGATAATTTTTTATATAAAGCCATCACTTGAGCCAGCCATTTTAGATAATTATCACCCTATCTCCAACTTCCCCATTTTAGGGAAGGGTATACCAAAGGTAGTGGGATGGATCTACAATCATAAAGGTTTATTCATCCAATCCCCTTCTCAGTGCAGGATCCATCTCTGACAGATCCACCTTCTCTTTGAAGCTGTCCACCAAGGGGCCACCCTTACTACCAAGGGCTCTGGATGAAGCAGAGTATCTCCATCTGTTCATGCCTGGGTTCAGGTCTGGGCAAGGGATGGAAGTCACATGAGTTGTGCTTATGGATGACCTACACAGAATTGGATAGTGGGGGAACACCCTCTACGTATCTGTGGCCTCCTTTTTGACAGTCTGCAAGGGGCAGTTTTCAGTGTTTCTGCACCTTCCAAACTGAGACGTGCTACTCAAGGTGGAATCTGCCTGTCCATTACATGCGAGTCAAGAGGAAAGTTCTGAGTTTGCATCACTGGATAGGATAGGGGGCACCCTGAAGGGTAGGCTTCTTGGTTACAGCTTTCCACCCCAGGTGAGGATGAATGATGCCTAGAATGCATGGAGTAGGTCACATACACAAACTTGTAGAAATCAAATAATAAATAAACTGCTATGCTAATGGTAGCATAATATCTCTGTGAATGTGTTTCTAGTTTAACTTGAGAATAAAAAAAATACTGTTCCCTTCAAACTTCATTTTCCATAAATATTAGTTTAATTCTCTAATTTTAATTTTAGATTGGATGTAATCCACCATGACTGATATGAACAGCATTGTGAGAGAAGATCTTTACAAAGCATTGAATGAACTCCTTGAAAAGCAATTTGAAGAATTTAAATGGAGGTTAAAATATATTGACTATGATGAAAAGTCAAACATTCCTCCAGCTTCATTGGAGAAAGCTAATCAACAAGAAGTTGTAGATCTCATGATTCAATATTATGAAGAAGATGCCCTAAAGGTGTCCATTTGTGTTCTTCGAAAAAGTAATATAAACGATGTTGCTAAAAAACTTGAAGAAACTCTACAGAAAGGTAAGAAAACGCAACATATTACACAAATGTTCTCTCTCCACTTAAGGTCAACTGAAAATAAAGACCCATTGTGATTTGGGAAGCTGTCTTCCACTGAATCTTGTTCAACTGATTCATTGTTGTTGACTAGGTGGCAGTGGCTCCCTGGGATTTCAGAGGGGGGCTTCCCTTATAGTCTGAGATTCCATGTCTGGAGCCTGGAATCAAGCATAAGAGAAGCATCTGCTCTCTCACTCAGCTTGGCATTTTCCTCTCACTGTCAGAGTAAAATTACTAGCCAAGGTCAAGCAAAACAAGCTAGTCCATTGATCTAAATTTAAGGGAGATGGTTAAAAATTGAGCATCTATAATCAAACATAAGGAAAGCATCTGCTCTATCACTCAGCTTGGCCTTTTCCTATCACTGTCAAAGTAAAATTATAAAAAAGTACAATTATAAGCCAAGTTCAAGCAAAACAAGTTAGTCCATCCTTCGAAGATCCTTAAAAGTTGAATTTAGTCCATCCTTTTTTCAAGCATGCTTCCTGACATGATTCAGTATTACAATACCTTACAGGTGGTGATGCCATTGTTGCTACTAGGGAAGAGAACAGAGCATGTAATGCTGGGGGGAGCCAGAGAAAAAAGAAGGGAAGCATTTTCTTCCAGGAGTCCCAAGTGGAAAGGAAGTTAGAGCTGACCTTGGGGAAGGACAGCCCCCAAATATCTCAAATCCCGTGTGTACATTTCTGCACTAGGGACCCCAAATCTGGGAGCCAAGAAGTGTCCCAGAACCAGTCCTAATCCCAAGAAGAAATGAGATTCGTGCCTTGTTGTGACCTGTGTGGTTGCTTTAGTTTGCCCCACGTTCTGTTGGAGGGCATCAGACTGGTCTATGCAGAAACAAGAGCATTCCTGAAGGAGGGCACAACGCCCACCCCTTGAAGAGCTGTCCAAAGATCTAGGGGACTGCAATTTCATCCAATCACCCAGGCTAGAGAAGAAAAGACTGAAGAGATTGGATAGCTGACATGGAGTCACTGAAACCCAGTTCACGTTCAGAGGAAATGTGGTGAGGAGCTCATTCGGCTTCTAAAACTGCAATGCCTGAAAGAGACATATGCACAGTTTGATCTGTTACCCAAAGGGGGGCTTTGCTGTGATGAACATGGTAGGCAAAGCTCCCCAAATTTAAGACATACTTGGAAAATAAATTGTGGAGGATTGTAATGTTGGGATATACCCACCTGACACTACAAAGTCCTCACTGTTGGGCTGGCAAGGATTCCTACACACACCATCCAGATACTGTATGCAAAACAAATCAGGATAGAAAAGTAGTGGTGAAGGTAATGCAGGGTGGGGACTCTATGCAGAGGCCCACAGGATGAAAAATGCTGCCCAGTAGGGTACTGTCACTAAACACTGCTGCAGGAGGGATCGGGGGGCCCTGCAGGCAGAGCCATTGAGCACCCAGACCCACCTCTTGCTTTCCCAAAAGGAGGGGATTGGGGGAGCTCGGGGTGAGGAGACAAGTCAGCGCTACTTTAGTAGGAGGTAGCTCAGGCTAACTGATTTTTCTCCTTCCTGACAAGAGAAGCTTTGCTACACAAAAAGAACACAATTCCTGATATTGATTTCTTGGCTGCCCTTCTCACTATGTGCTGTGCTTCTAATTCTGAGGATTCATCTTTATAGTTCCTATGAATTGTTATGAACTCTTTTCTCTCTTTTCCACTTTTCCTTCATTGTCAAGCTGGAGTTGCCTTACACCTGTGCCAAGCAACTGGCCTTGGCTGCTCTCTCAGCTGTGACTCGTGGGTTGACTCCTCTTAGCCACCCTTTACTTACCTTAGGTTTCATTGGTGTTTTAGTATTTTCAGCCAAGTTCTGGTTCCTGCTATCCCAAACTTCGGAAGGGACTTCAGCATCTCATAGACTTTCAGCGTTTGGCTGGGTGGGGAAAGGTTCATTACCAGCTGCCATATGGCTGTTCATTATTGGTATTTCTCTGCTTCACCGATTTCAGCTGCTGGTGCATCTGAATTCCTCAGCTGATTTTCCCACACTGTCCGTCACCCACTGCACACTGCATAAGCCAACTTGTCCTGTCATTTGAACCAGTTAGCCTTGAGGAAGGGGCTCAAGTCCTTGGGGGGTTGAATCCTGCCCTCTTTTAGATCCATGTCCCTCCTGGCTGGTTAAGGCCTTCCAGGAGACCACACGTCATTGAATCCAAGAGATGGTAAATCCTTCTTGATGGGAGGGGATGATTCCACCTGGTTAAAAGGAAATGATGGTTCAGTCTCTTCTTAAGAGCCATCACTGGATCCAACTTTTGTTCGATTTGCAAACTTCCCTTTTTAGGGATGGTTCTTGAGAAGGTGGTACAATTGCAGCTTTGAAGAGCCCTGGAGGAAATGATGATCTAGGTCCTTTCCAGTCCTGTTTCAGGTTGGAATGTAGCACTGAGATGGTGTGATGGACTGGAATGGAGGAAGGGGGGTGAAAACGGTGCTCTCGTCTCCAGAGCAACTTTCTGGAGAGAAGTGGAGAAAGCTGGCACATCCCTAAACATTCCAGAAGATAGTAGAGAGTTGTGCCTGGGAACTACTGGTCAGTCTGAAAAGATTCTGTAAATAAGCGCTATCTAATAAACCTTGCTGATTGAACCTACACGGTCTCCAGGAGTTCCTTGGGCTGGGCCTGACATCAATCTTTTCAGAG